GACCTTCTTATTAATGCTATTTGAATATGTTTCAACCACCATTGCAATATAATATGTGCCTGTAATGATACATACCATAAAGCAATATGATACATGCTATACAGTATACAATCTAAAGAAATTCATCAATTAGAGTCATATGGTTACAGAGAAGCAAATTACCTGAGTTCCTGCAAGTTTATTGTCCCAGCTAAACCATGTGGGGTCTCCCCACTCGGCAAAGGCCTGACCATTCTCCACAGTAACATAGTTCAGGTATGTCTGGTCTTGGGTTGCATGATACAACCAAGCTGCTGCCCATAATAGCTCATCTTTATAGCCAGTAGAATTGTAGAATTGTTGCACTTCAGGAATGCTAAGACTATAAGAAGCTCTAAAGGCATCGGCGAAATGAAACAACTGCTCGGCATGCTTAAGAAGAAGACTAGAATATGCAGAATCGGAGCTTTTGAACACTAGAGAAGCGGATGCCAAAGCAGCTGCTGTTTCGGCTGCAACTTCAGTTCCTGGAGTCGATGTGTTCACTTGTGTTAGAGGCCTTTTCTCTTTCATGTCTTCAGGCCTTTCCCAACAGGCATGGTCATCTTTGGGATTTCCTACCTGTGAAAAAAGCAAACAAGTTTGGCATTTCAAAAGTCTGTGATGTTGCTCGTAATAATAGTTAACACAACATTCGTAAAAACCAGCTAGGAATTTATAATTTCTAAAAAGTGAGCGAAGACAGAGAGAGCAGCAGAAAAAGAAAGTCTCGAGAAGATGAAGGGGGACAGATAGAGAGGGAGGTGAGGTGGGGTGAGGGAGGGAGGGGGTCATTGGATTCTTCAAAAATTCAAGAAACCCAAAAATATAAGTTTCAAGAAGGATTTTGACAAATAAAAAATCAAAGATTCATAAGATCTAGATCTCCAGAAGATGATAAATGTAGGAGAAAGGGAAAATCCATGGATTTTAGAAATCCATTGGAGAATTCATCCTACCCAAATGACTCCTAATGAAAAGAAAACAAATCCTAAGTTAGAAAAAAAATACATGACTTGACAGGAAATATTCTCTCACGACGGCAAAAGGCAACTGCAACTAAGGCCCGATGAGACTTTAAGCTTTTCCATGCCTTTCTCAACACCAATCCTCATTTTATTTTCACATACAACTCCAAATAGACTAATCAGAAAAGTGGATGCTTACCACTTTAGCCCATAAAGTTTGTCTACAAATAAACAAGCTATACATTCATTGACATGAAAATCTATTAATGAACACATTTAACTCCAATGTAAGGTTTTGCTCATAGCATTCCAACAATTATGTCCCATGATAAGTCCACATGGCACAAGCTCCCCTTTCATAGTTATCCTTGTCAGATAGTTTCTATTAAAAGTAGAACTTAATTACTGGGATGCCATAGCACTTCAAGAAATGACCAAAATACCTAGAAATATTCTTCAAATTAAACCACCATCAATGACCAAAATATTCCTAATGTTCAAATTGAACTCTTATCACTAGCTAAGATGTTCTTAACTTCTTAGTTATCAAATTGAACCATTATCAAATGAAATTAAATTACATCCCTCCTTGCATATCTAAGATGCAGGTGTGCGCTAGTACCATTGCCATCTCTTCTCTACTATTGGTCTACTTACCTGCTGAATGGATGAAAAGCTCTTTTGTCCCTACCATAACTTTAGGACATCACCTTGTAGCATTCTTTTACATATAAATCCTCAAGTCCTCAAGATTTCAGTTTTCCTAGTTAAAATTTTCAAGTTTTGAGCTTTTCACCTTTTTCACATGCAAACCACAAACAAATAACTAGTTCACATACACTTCACTCGGGCTGTCTTCAAAACCAACTGTATATGGTGAGAATGCTAGATAAAATGGCATGGGATAGAAGATATACCTGAATATACAACACATTTTCTGAAGGGTGGGCATTGACCAAGTAATCTGTGATCCATTTGAGAGAATCTATAGCAGGTGTAAGATGTTGTGCTGCTTTCATCTGATCTCCATACTCCAAAATGGTCCATGAAAGCACTGTCCCAGTAAAAGCCATTGGAAAGCCAAACTTCATGTGATCCCCAGCATCATACATTCCTTTGGACAAGTCCAACGTAACTTCTTTTCCATCATCCAGTGCAGAGTCCCCTCTCCAAGAGATGGGATTATTATGCAGTTTGCCAGCTAAAACAACAAGCACGACTAACCATAAGCACAACAAAATCAAATATCCAATGAAAAAGTTATTTAACTGTCTAAGATTGAAAGTAGCATAATATTTTCTATCATAACCCACAAAATTTCATCTCAGCAACAAATAGCAAAAAAATAAACAAAATAACGGTTAAAGAAATGCAAATCACAATACAGGAACAGCAAATAGCTTTTTCAATTTGGGTATTTACATCAACTGCAGCAAGCATCAAAATGCGCTCTGCTTTTCTTAAAAAAATAATTAAGAATTCATGACCAACTTCGAAATAACGCAAAAGAATCTCGATAATTCAGAATACCTGAACTTTTACACTCCAAAATAATCCATTTATTTCTTTTGAGAAAAAATAATTCATTTATTTGATAAGCCATGATGCTTCAGAAAGCAGTCACCTGAACAAAAGACAACAAAAATCATAACCTCCATGAAAGTGAATCTGGGGTGTCCTTATTTTTTAATTCCAAACCTCACAAAGCAGTAGTTAAAGAAAAAAGAAGGAACACACGTGTATAACGGGGATTTAAACAGCAAATTTATAAATTTCAAAAGCACAATAAAAAAATTTAACTAAAATTCTAAAGAAAATAATAGTCTAACAAGGAAAAGACATGATGGAACTTCAGTTTCTGAAATTATTTCCTAATCCTGATCCAAACTTCAGCAAATTTGTCAGGTAAAATAAAGGTGAAAATAGAATATAATGATGGAATACCATGTTGCTGGAACAAAGGTAGTGAAGAAAAATAAAAGATGGGAAAGAGAATAATAAAGTTGAACAGTTGAGCACTCAGTTCCAGCTCTAGAGACACTGACATCGAGGATCTTAGAGTTTAAGTGATTAAAATAAATTCAACTTCAGTGTTGCAATTGTCAAATCATGCATAAGGAATAAAAGATGTTCGACAAAAAAATAAAAAAATAAAAAAATAAAAAAGAAAACAATGCCCAGATCCAGATTTAAAGAAAAACAAACTATAATGGACAGAAAGAAGCTATTAAAACTAAAACCAGTACAACAGTCATGACATACTCTTTTTACACTCAGACATGTGCGATGAAGGTCAATACATCTTTAAATTATTTTTGTAAGCAAAAGATTGAAAAGAAGGATTTAGATACTAAAAAAAAGTAAATGTCAGTTCCAGAGCCGACAAGAAGTGGAAGGGGACTATAACCATGACTCAAACAGCTTTTGTCCTGATTTGATAATGATAAAGAAATATCTTGAACGTATATATTATGAAAGCAATAGATACGTATCATAAATGTACAGGATTATGAAAGCAAAAGCCAAAAAGTAAAAGTTCATTATTAAAGTAATTATGTATTCCAGATCTAGAGAACAAGTCTCAAATGAAGTAAAGAAAAATTGAAGAAACCAATAAAAACAGAGTTCTGAAAATTTTGGGCATGAATGATGCCAATGATAGAACTTAATAAAAATTAATCAGAAAACAGATTCTGTAAAATTTGTTGTTACAGGTAAAGAAGATAGTTCCTTCTCCAGATTTGGAAATTTAAACCCTACATTACATTCCCAATCTGCAA